ACACGCAACTGTTTATTCCAGAATCAGAGGTTGGAAACCCAACTGTATATAGACTGAAAGCAAAACAAATACACAACTGAACATGATATATGCAGTCATCCAGCAAGACAGGCAATGGAACACAATATACGCAGTTATCCACAAGACAGGTGCACAGGCACAGCACACAGTGAGACGAAGGCAGCCGAGCGTACCAGAGGCTCTGCAGCACGGAGGGCTGGGAAGGCCACCAGTCGAGTTAACCCAATCCCAGTGCTTCAGGACACCTCCGGCCACACTGACATCTCTCTTCTCCTGGGATGAGCCCTAGGGTGCAGCTGCGCGGTTCCGCGGAGTTTCAGGTGTCTGCCAGCTCTGTTTCACTGTCCATGGTTAAACTGCTTTCTCCTTTAAAAAAAATTTTTTTTTTGCCAGGTGCAGCGGCTCCCGCCGGTAATCCCAACACTTTGGGAGGCTGGGGTGGTCGGATCACCTGAGGTCAGAAGTTCCAGCCTGATCAACATGGCGAAACCCCGTCTCAACTAAAAATACAAAAATTATCCGGGCGCAGTGGTATGCGCCTGTGAGCCCAGCTGCTCCAGAGGCTGAGACAGGAGAATCGCTTGAACCCAGGAGGAGGAGGTTACTGTGAGCCGAGATCGCGCCACTGCATTCCAGCCTGGGTGACAAACTGAGGCTCTGTCTCAAAAAAAAAAAAAAAAAAAATTTGTAGAGATGGAGTCTCACCATGTGGAAACTCCTGGACTCAAGCAATCCTCTCGCCTTGGCCTCCCAGTGTGCTGGGATTATAGGGCAAGAGCTGCCATGCCCAGCCTCTCCTTTCTTTTTAAGACAAGCTCATGCCCACAGTGCCGTGCCAGAATGGAGGGGGCTCCATCACCCTGAGCACAGAGGGCTTCATGGCGAGTGGATGGGCCAGGGCTGTGTGTGAGAAGAAACCTGTCTGCGAAGGGTGACGGGGAAGTGTTCTGCGGGAGGCTGGACCACCCGAGCATCCTCAACCCCTCAGGGTCGGACAGAGCCTTTACCCGACTCCCACCTCATGACAGTGCTGAGGAGCTGGGGCTCGCCCGCACCCACCCAGCTTGTGCAGGCAGCCTTCTCAATTTTCCACTTTCGTGTCTACCACCTTTGTCAGGCCCTTCCCTTGCCGCAATGCAAGTCTAACTCAAAGACTGAATGTACAAGTTTGAGCTGGGGCCTGGGTCGCCAGGCCTCCAGGGCCCTGAGTGTGGTCCAGGAGGGTGGTGACTGGCTGTGAGGAATGGGAGGAGGGTGGTGACTGGCTGTGAGGAATGGGAGGA